TTTCTTGCTCTTTTGATACTAGCAGTTGTTCGTTGTGTAGTTCAGCCTACGGTGCTCAAATACTAACAGTCTTAGTCGAGACTGGCAATCACGCTCTCCGCGTTCAACGGGCCGACGGGATACACGACAGAAGAGGTAGTCACTGAATCACAAACAGAATATGTTTTGTAAGGTCGAAAGTACGAAAAGTGAAACAAGCGTGATCTCTGAAGAATTTGACAGGGAAAAAAGTTATCGCAAGCTGCGCAACAGAATATGCAAAAACAGAACCCTAGATAACCAAAACTTCATTGATGTAGTATTAAAAGGGGAAAGCAAGATTCCATAAGATTTAAACAAGTAAGCATACCGGGATTAATCTATCTAAACTTCTTGTACCATGCATCTTGGCTTGTGCAGGAACTTTTAATTGTCACGAAATAATATCTTTTTGCACATGGTTGTGGTTGAACTTAGGATTGTGCAACCACGGCTGATGTTGTATGTGCAGTCCGAAATGGTAGCAGAACCACCGTCCTGGATCTGTGTCTGCCAGTTCCGTGGACGAGTGAAATCATTGTGTGCGGTTCAGAACTACTTCGGTCAGCCTCCGCCTAGTACACCATGATTACTAACTTAGCCCGGATCGCATAGTAGGGTAACTGTGCGTGACACTAATTGCTGACGAAATCTGTTTCACTGCACTCAGAGAACAACATAAGCAGGCAGCCACGGACGAAATTTTGAAAGCCGCAACCGTCTAAACCAGGCTTGACTGTCTCCCCCAAATAGGCCAGCGTGGCACACAAGTGTCCATCTAAGCAAGTGTTGTGGCATAGCCGGGCTGTTACTGTGCCATGGACTTTATAACCAGATACTCAATGTCATCGCGCAGCCGCAGCAAGTAAATGCAAGGTTTGTCTGGAATTCAGGACAGATCCTTACCGGATATGAACTGCGGCACTTGACTGGATCGTTAGTGAAGTAACCCTGTAATATGTGACTCTCTGCGTTCAGGTATGGTCTGAGTGTTATTGAGTGTGTGTTCGTCCCGAATACGTGCAAATGACTCAAGAGGCTTTGCCGTGCAAATACTATGCGTGGGAATTCAATACCCATTTGATTTTTACTTGCTGTACTCTGGTTGCATCCGAGTTCCTCATTAACTGATCTTGCCAACAGTTCTTTGTCTTCTACCACTTACGGAGGCTCGTTAGCTACGCGCTGTTATCGAGATATACTAAGAATGCTGCATAAAGTTAATATTATGGATAGGTAGCCAGCAGGTGATAAAAAGTTTATGCCCTTACGCATTGTGTTAACTAACGCAGTGAATATGGCTTATTGTTGCCTTACTTCCAACCAGCCATTTCGCGTCAACGACTGGGAAATATTCGCATCACAGCTGAAATGGAATTATTGGGATACAATGTGACATACATGTGGCACCGGAAAGGCAGCAGATTCGTTCCAGGAGGATATAATTGCATGTCTACGCAGCATTCGCCGCGTACCTCGACAAATAAGCCAGCAACATGAAAAGGAACAGCATTACTCCCGCTAGCACATGATAGAAAATCAACAGGTTTGTCAGTGCACCCCATAGCACTAATGATTTGACCGCGCTGTATCAACTTTACAAGCAAACTAACGGATGGCGTGCATGCCTAGTAGAAAATCATATTTCTCATGAGCATCAAACTCGCTCAATTGCGCACAAACCGTCGTAACTCTGCAGTAACCGAAATAGATGAATAAATCAATAAACAAACAATTAGCGCAACGCTGCGGGATGTCGGGATTGCATCCATCTGTCTGTCATATTTCCTACGTACTTGAAAATTTCGTGAATGCTTGTTAAATTTTCAAAGGGTACTTAACGTCTTCTGCAGTAGATACCTCGCACGCAACCTATAATGCTTTGAAATAGTGGTCGCCCACCGACCTTCCGTGAGCGCGTGGACAAGTTGAGTACACGCCAGTTACCACGGTTTTCCAAAACTGCGCCGCAAATGTGCACCGATTGTCGAATGCGGGGGATGCCTGACAACCAATTGTCTCCTGCATGGCTGTCTCCACAACTACCTTTCAATTCAACCTTGGTGGCAGGCACAATAATATGTAGCGAACTGAATGGCAAAATGTAGAGCGAAATATTACAAAACGATTTATATGGGAACATTCGTTCGGCTAGGATGAATTGTCTTGTGCGGTGCCGAATGTAGCGTAAATCACTTAATTATCTTAACCTTAGATTTTGTTGACGACGTTGCTAAGATGGAACACACTCACTCTCGCCTGGTTGCCTGAAACAGTAATCAACATACCACATGTCGCAGCTTCACTCCTTTTTGTCGTTATTTTACTACGGCATGTTATTTAACTGTAGAGGCTTGGCGTTCTTAGGAAAACGATACTTAATAGGTGCTGCAGCGTGTACCATATTCAGAAGTGACGTTTTTCTTTCGAAAGCTGTCTAACACTTTCGACAACTAGACATACCTCGGATACTATCTAGTTGGAAACGCTGCGAGGGGACCTTATCATGCGGTGTTATTCCCAATAAGTTGGCAAATCTGCTGACCACGAAGCTAACCACTTTGTTTAATTCAAACCGGTAACTTTTAGGGTTTGGTAGAGAATGATGGCATTTGGGGACTGCAAATATGCTGTGGGGTTTTTGAGCGCAGATAACCCACACCTTAACAGTACCAAGGTCAGTATAACATTTATGATTTCGCAGTAATGGTGGTGTGATGTGGCATATTCATTGCTGCCAATTATGCACTAGTACCCATGTAAAGCAGTAAGTCACACTGAATCCCAGTTTGTGTGGCAGCATTTTTGTGCCTGTATTTGCATTGTATCGGTGTACCGTCAGGACACAATAAATAAGTCAATACACACTCATGGGTCTCTATACTACGGCTGTACTTAAGCGTTTGTCAGTTTGTATGTTTCTTGGGATTTATCTCTGGTTCCTTAGAGAGTATGAAACAAATAGCATTGTTATTACGGGCGACTTCAACCCACGTGTCGGTCGTTTGCTGTCCTGTGAACCCAACCTCGGGGGACTTATGGACCTAACACCCTACTTCAATTTTCGTGATGAGCACTCTGTTTGCGATGTTTTTTGTTCAAGGAAAGCAGTATTCTAGGAAAAATGCTGAAATACGTTTATTATGCTGAGTTGGGTGCCAACTGTATAGTTAACCGAGCAAGAGAATTAATTGTTTGACTAGGAATGACGGGACAAATAAAAAATCATGTATCATGTATTCATGTATCCACCTTTGAGGCGGGTCGGTAACACCAAGTGCCATAAACCAGGAAACCAATGATGCTGCATGATTTCTCTAATCGACCATGGCAGAAGGTGGCGGTGGATTTATTCAGTGATAACGGAAGAGATTACTTACGGTGAAATACTATAGTGGATATCTTCAAATCGATTTACTCGCCACTGCGACGCCAAAAGCAGTAATCAACAAGCTTAGATGTCAGTTCGCGCGGCTCGGTAGACCTGAGGAGCGCGTCTTCAAAGATACAACCCCGTTTACCAGCGCTGCGTTCCAGGTCTTCGCAACCAAGTGGGAATTCGTGCACCAGCAAACCAGCCCATATCACAATCAATCAAATGGAAAGGCGGAGTCGGCAGTGAAGCAAGTCAAGCGACTTTTATCAAAGGCTAGAACAACTGGCGAGAACGCGTGCCACATGATAGAGAAGAATCGCAACCCTCGTTTAAAGGATCCTGTTTTGAGCCCAGTGCAGCGCTTATACAGCCGGAAGACATGAACTTGGATGCCGCCATTTGGTACAATTTTGCGCCTAGTTTCGCCACGGCGCGAGCGATTGCAAAAAGATCCGCTACGACGAATGACCACTCAGAAATGATAATACGACCGCGGTGCAAGGGTACTACTTAGCTAACAGTGGAGGAAGAAGTGTGGGTTTAACCATTAGCCGGTAGCCAAGCGCGGTGGAAGAATGTTGTGGTGACTGCAAGGGTCAATGCGGAACATGGAAAATAAACTTTGAAGGGAAAACTGCAAAAGAAATCGAGTGCATTTGAGACGACACCGGAGGCAACGACGTGGTACAACAACGTGGATTGGGAGTGGTGGCAGATGGCGTGGGGCAAGGAAACCACGGTCACAGATAGAGCGAAGAGGAAGCGGAGTGGCAAGGTGTACAGGATGGAAGGCAATATGGAGGCGCAAGAACCGGAAAAAAGGAAGGATGTGATGGTTGTGTCAGACCTCAGTGAGTGAATGGACCAACCGAGCCTGCCAGAGAGCCAATGGGCGGCGGACGTGACGGATACGATTACGGGACTCCGATTGGCGAATATTGGTGTGATGGATTCACTGTTTGTCTAACTGAAGCAAATGAGGAACCTCATCGACCCATATGAGTCGTTATGTATGGACTTAAAAGTGCAGCTTAAATCGAGGAGGTTGGATTGCCAACCACGCTATAATTTCGCCGACTTAACTTTCCTAAATAAACGCTTGTCCCTGGAGGACTGAATTCTTCATTAACCCATATCAACTCCTGAATCAACGACTCGCTCAAGAAGGATCAATTTCGGGATGCATTCTATCGTTCCAGTCATACCTAAAACTGAACTAAACTTAAAATATCTAATACTATATGAGCTCCAGAAACATTTGATGAACCCTAGCGTTTGTTTGGTATATATTTACTTCAGTATCGTAACTATGGTAATTCTACCACAGTAGAAACCAGTAAAATGTGCAAATCTCCCACATTTCATTCTAATATGCCTGGATTGAGCAATGCCTAGGTCTCATATTTCAACGGCGGGATTTCGGACGCAGCGCTGGTATTGTTGTGAGTAATCTCGGAAGACGCATGGTACGGAACTTGGATCTGGACGATTTGTCTGCACGATCTTTATGTGGACCATTCGCAGTTCAAAGACCCTGGGCAGTCTACAGAAATTTCCAATGTTTCTAAGATCAATACTAATGTGCCTTCTTCTGATTCCATTACAGATACCGAATAAGAGAGACGACTGAGAAGCTCATAACAATTTTAAGATATGCCGCAGATGAATAGCAGAAATCCCACGTCACCGAGCTGCGTTGGATGTAATGATAATAAATATTTTACTAATGGACATTTCTTATCTTGTGTTACATATGGTAATGAATTATACTGATTGCGCAATCCGAAACTAGAATTCTGTGGTTCTCGCTAATTCGATGCTAGCTTTATGTGGTGCTTTGTGTTATTACAGATGAAATATGTACCAAACAGGGCTATTACAGTTTGTATAAGCAGTAACTATTCTACTACGCCACACGCTTATACATAATCTAATACTGTCAATGAGTACTCGAGTGGTTGTATGGTACCTCGATTACCACGCCGAATGGCTTTTATTATGGGTATCAAATAAACGCTAGTCATCAACGAAAGGTATATTGAATTTTGCTTCGGATTAAATAAATAAATAAATATTTTATTCCCGACTATGCGAGGCACGCCAATTGTGGCATGATCAGGTATGTACAGCTGTGCAGACATTTTATGGCAACTGTAGTGACAGTATAAAATTGTTCATATGTCCATGCTTGGAACTGTGCAATGGTGAACATGCGAAACAACGATTTGGTTGTAGTGAATCGGGACCCATTTGGTTGAACATAATCGCTCTGCCATATATTGCAGTCATACCTCGAAAAATAATAGATTGAGAATCCTGAATGATCCAATGGAAGATAATTGAAGAGCACACCAAAATGGTGACGCTAATTGATCTGCCAGTGTGAAGTTATGGGCTGTGACTTTATTCGGTGGCGAGTCACATTCGCCACGTTGCAGTGTTGTTAAACGGACATTTGTGGCCTTTTATAGGGAGAACGCCTGCCAGGCGAAAACCCACCACGTCCTGAAACACTGCCGCCAATACACTGAATGGCAAGTTGTAACTGGCTATATTTCTCGTTGAACGTTTGCTCCGTTATTCGCAGTCAAGTTGCGTCCAATTTTTCTGCTGACTGATGCAATTACATTATCATATGACCAAACAAAACTTAACATTAGGCTCTGCCACTAACCTGCACTGTCTGAAATTCGTCAAAAGTTCATTCGCCTATCATTGTCTAATTAATGAATGCAGAGAACAGGTGTAATGCTTTATGCATCTCATCTGTAAGTGGAGCTAACTGTAAGCTTAGTATAGTAAGTTGTCAGCGTTTTTGGTTAAGCCTAGGGAATAAAATTTTAGAATAGGATGAATGACTTAGAGTGTGCTAGTGGTATCACGATAGACGCAAATGTTGCTAGACAACTAATTGCCAACAGTCGCTGGCAGTTGCTCAAGCACCACGCATATTAATTGTCTAGGCGTAACTTTAGTTGTCCGACTAATTTCGAACAATCATCAAGTATAATTCTAGCCTTGTTGCCATGACAAGAAAACGGCTTTATAAACGTGCTCATGCAAAAAATAATTTGCATTCGCAGAGTTGACCGAAGAATATTGCGTTCTATTTTGAAGGTAGGTTATTTATTTCGTCAGAAATCTCACAAAAGATACGGATTTAAAAATTTATACCAATTATAATTATCATCATTATTATTATGATTATTATTACCATTATGTCTAAATGCAAATTGAGTAATGTCTGCATTCCCTGGAGTGGAAAGGACAACGCGGATTTGCCGTAAAGGTAGGGAAATTCACCAGTCTGGTCAGCTTTATGACAGTGACACCAGGGAAGCCAGGCGGAAGCCAATTAGTGACGCGGATTTGAACCAGTTGATGTCATCTGAAATGCGTTCCCTTGGGAGAGCAGCTACATTTTCAGTAACGTTACGAAATATAACCCTACCATCCGTGAAAGCGTCAACAAGACGGGGAGTATTTACATCACGTGCCTTGGATTCGACATTTACACCAAGTGTGTTTACTGCTGGCCCTGGGTCTGTCCCTGTCCCCGCAAACGACGTCAAAGCAAAGGTGGCATTTGTTTTCCGTCTTATTTTTATCACCTTACTATGTCCTAGATCTTCAAGCCCCTCCGAATTTTTACGGTCAGATTTAGTCCGCTTCTTCTTTCGGCTCTCGTAAGCAGGGGCTGTTAACCTTGTGTTGCATTGATCCCTTACCAACAAGTCGTCTGAACGGGCCGCCTCAATGGCAGCCGCGAAGGTCGACTTCTTCGCAAGGTTCTTCTGTTCACAACCGTCAGATGACTTTAAGACTGTAAAAGACTGCATCTTTCTCAATGCCGCGGCAACTGTTTATTTGGACTTAGTAGAAGGCTTATAGTATTTACGCACCCTAATTTTCCTCACTGTGATAGGCTTATGAGGTGAGTCAGCAGTGCTATCTGAATTGTCCGGTAGGATGTTGGACTCCTTGACTGAGAGACAGACACCAACGAATGGATCGTCAGCAGTGGTGCAGTCTACTGCAGTGTCCCCAATTGAAATATTCAGGGATTTAAAAATCAAATTCCTTTTGCCATTAAGTAAGGCAATCGCCTTCTAAACACTTGCCAACCTTGACGCCAGTGCTAAAAGTTTAGCATCGGTTGTAGCCGTATGCGTCGATCTCTGAGCGCAGCATTTAGCAAAGCTGTAATGGAAGTTCACGCTGGCTGATAACACTTTGTACTGGTCTACTGTCACACCGGTACAAATGTCGTGATACCAGCGGCAACAATCGTCATACTCCATACCGCCACATTAATCTGTGACGGATGCTGAACAGGGTAGACGGTGCGCAACTTGCACAAGGTTCATCAAACAAAGATTTTAGGTGGACATTGGCCTTGGTGTTTAGCGAGACAGCCATGTTTTGGTGGAAAACAGAGCATAATTACAACACGTACACAATAATAAAACGACCGTAATAAAAAGCAAAGCAGGGTGCAAAACAAGAATAAACAAGGAACAACCGGAAAACGAAACAGTAAGCATCAAAGACATTTCGGCAAATACAATCTTAATCGATGCAGGAGATTTTTGATCAGAGGAAATTTGACAATAGTCAAATTTCGTTTCAAGTGTTCATTCAATCAAAGTTTTCCACAATATTGCAGCCGAAAATCTCGATCAGTATGTCACGCCCAACAATCGGGTTACCGCGGTCGAAATTTCGGGTTTTGTTTACCCTAACTCTTCGAATAGCAGCTTTAATTTACCTTATCTGTCTCGCTGGTTAGTCGATCCAAGAAGGATGATGCAACAACTGCAAAACTCTTTACTTGCTTAAAAGTTAACTCTTTTGTTGTTCGTGCCATTTCATATTCTTTTCCCACCGGATTTTGTTCTAGTATGTCTGCAATGCTAATTTAATTTGCTGGAAATGTTCCCACATGGGTGTATAGCACTCATATTGACTTGACTTGATTTCCCATCTCTACTATCCTGCATTCAACTCATTTACTTTCCAAGCAGGAGTCGCAGTTCCTGTACTGAGGCGTCATTTCTAGTTTGCCCAGCATAAATATAACTAGTGACAGGCAACAACGAAGGCGAAACCCAAATGATTTATTTTGGTGGATACTTAGAATCTAGTTGGCGTACTACGCGTTACCACAAGAGTTTCATTGTAAACGTTTCATTATTTACGTAGCACACCTGCACAGGCATGATTTTAGTAAGAGTACAAGGAGTGATAAAAGAAGGTACAATAGTATGGTTGTCATTGTGGTTGCAACGTTAATATACGAATGAGTGCATGTAGACATATGTAACTGCTTTTTTTGACCTTGTAAATCTTTTGCTGAATTTTGGCTGTGTTTGAAAGTGTTTCCAAAGTTAAACGGCTGTTTGACTTCCGTGGATTTGAAACGCTTGTACGTCTAGTCAAAATATGGTGACTTTATTTGGTGGCGTATCACAACCGCTTCGACACAATGTTGTTAAACGGATGTTTGTGGCTTCATCTAGGGAGGACTTTTGCCAAGCGCAAACTCGCTAGGTCCTGGAACACTGTCCTCGAAAAATTTCTTGGAAGGGAGTAAACCGAAACACTTATCTGGCTCAGTTAGTTGGATATTCGGCTGGTCAGCAAAGGCAAATATACCAGTTCTCATTTGCTAACATCATTAGCGCAGGCCCTTTCATCCATATTGCATTAGGTATCATCCAAAGTGCTTCAGGTCTCATACATAGTGCATCGACTATCATCCAGAAGCTGCCACCGGGCTTGTATCCACCATCGTTTGCGTCGGCAATGGCTATCAGCCAATTTGGATCGGCATAGGGTAGAGACTAAACACACCAATGAGACAGAATACACACTCTTTCGGAGAGTTAGGAAAATTGTTAGGTTAGGGTGACACCAGCTTGGTCCAACTCAAATGGACGGAGATTGAGACCTTACAAACGGAGCTCAGCCGGTGCACAGTTGGCCGCTTGCACTCTCACTTCAAAATGGGGGTATCTGGGACATGCGCTGGTGCGCGCAGTCCCTGAGGGAAGGGACACGCAAGCGCGCAGACAGCACGGGCTTCAAACCTGCAGTTTAGTCAAGCCGCTTTTTGAGCGAGTAAAGGAGATGTCTGAGGATAGGACGCAGTTGAAGCAAGGAAGAGCAGAGTGAGCAACGTTGGCTTAGCACTCCAAAGTGCTCTATGCAAGAGGTGCAGATAAGTTGCCTGATATCTATGGGGCACATGCTAATTCGATCGCATTATTAAAAGCGCCATAAAGCTGCCGTTTGATCTCAAAGTCAAGTTGTCAGTTACATGAAGAGCAGAGCAATAACCGTCGCAGCGGAATGACAACACTTCCCTAGACGTAACCTTTTCGTTATGCGCGGAAAAATCAATTTTGTGACTAATCCTCAGGTATAATCAGAACGTGGGTTAGAAGCTAAATATATGCCAACAAATTGGCTCCATAGGGAACGCAAAGGGCCAATCTGATCGAGGTACACAGAATAGATTCTCAGGAGAATGATATAATCACCAATGGAGGGATGGATTAGACATGAGACAGAGGATTGATTGCACATATGTAAATTCTATTTAAATGGGTTATTAA